AATTCTTCAACGGCTTACGACCGGTTCAGTCCTTCTTGGAACTCATCAGGTAGGCGCGGCACCCGAATTCTCGTCAACCTTATGCTCCACTTAAACCCAAATTGCACGAAATTAGCGAACTACAGTCATTCGAAAACCAATTTAGTTTTGCGGGAGACTCACCTGAAATTCAGCTGAATCTCTCGTATCAGGTCTATACATGCATCGCGATATCTCGAACATCGTACCAACTGAAACGTGAGGCGGCCTGGCGCAGCACATTCAGTTGTAGAGTATCATAAAGGCCAGGTTCAGTCGAGTCTCTCGTGAAAACCAAATTAATTTGCAAATAAGTGTATTTCTCGAAAACAGTCCAATCGTGGTTCAGGCAGATCATAAGGTTGACGGAAACTCGAGGACTGCGCCTACCTGATCAGCCCAAACAAGAGCGAAACCGGTTGTGGACTGTCGAAGAGTTTTCAGCAACCTTGTGAGTAGTTTCCTTTATGAAAATATACTGCAATATCTCGAATACTGTGCCAACTGAAACATAAGCTTACCTGTGTGCAGCACATTCATTTACCTGAAAACACCATACAAGAGAGATTCAGCTTGGTTCCAAGTGGGTCTCGCAAAGCCAAATATGTTTGCGAATGAATGTATTTCGCCAAACGGATGCTTCCTCTAAGGTGGTGAATCAATCTACACTACGGTGATGCAGTTATTCTTGGGAAAATTCTCTTCTATCTTCCAAAAAATGTTGTGTTCTTTCATGTATATTAGCCAAAAGCCCACATACTCATATGTATGCAAAATATTTGAGAAACATCGCGTTAAACGCTCATTCCAAAGCAAAATGTTACTTTGATTCTTGATGCCCAAATATGAAACCTGTCTCTCTCTCTCATTTCGTCGCACACCTATTGTTCCAATTTACATGTAAGACCTCTTTGTTTCTTCTTTTGAGCGGTTTGTTCATGTCAGTATCACGCACGGGTTTGAAGATAAGATGACTCTCATTAAACAGATGAGTTGTGTTGCTGAGTTGGAGTTTCCTCCCTACTTTTCTATTGTTAGATGACTTGGGCACAACAGCTCGCGAATCGGCTAGGCTTTGAATTCCAGAGCATATTAAACGAGAATGGCAACCACTACTTCACCGGTGTACGCTAAACATTCCCAAATGATCACGTCCAAACAGGTGGACATGGTCACTCTCAAACGATTTCATTTCTTTGTCTGACTATTCCAACAGCTGCTCGACCGACCCACCCGTCGAGACTCCTTGTTCAAGCAGTGCAATGGACAACTGAAACCAGCGGACAGTTTCTTGAGGTTTGGGCTTATCAGCCTCACTACTCCAAAGGAATGTGTAATTCCTGCAAGAAAGTCTTGTATTTTACAGAGGAAGATCACCAGAGCGACTTTGTTCGCTCCAGTCACTGTGACCATTTCGTGCGTGTATATGGATGGCCCTTAGTCTGTTCTCTGAGCTGAGCTGGCCACTTCGATTGCAAAAACGATTGCTCACCAATGGACGTGAAACCACCAGGACGTAGTGAGGTAGCGATGTCATAGTGCTTAGCTTTGTTGACATTGAACAGTAAAGTGCTTGTGCTTATCATACTGATGCTGGAGAGTGACTTCTGATTGTGACTTATCGTTTGGTTGGTCATCCCCGTTTGTTCAATGGCTGCCTAACTCCCTGATTGACCAGTGTTCGCGTGAACTTTTGGTCTGGTCTCTCCAACTCATTCCACTTAACCTTTGACCCATCAATGCCAAAGTTACTACTGTTGTCTCCCGATCCGTCCGTTCCTTTGAGCTGTCCCCTTACGTGTATATTGGGTCGACTTCTCTATATAGATCAACTGAGTTTACAGCAGAGTACCATACTTCTAAGAAATCCTTTGCGTATCATTTGTTTCCACGTGCCGAATTTGTGTCCTCTCGGATCTTCATATATCGAAACCAGAGTGGATGGATCATGCCCTCTGACTGCTGCACCATATTCGTTCATCCGTGTTTGGCAGTCCGGTAAACAACACTGTTCCCAGTATTCTGGTTTATCTTCTCTTTCGGTGTTGCTATCAGCTTTCTCAGAGTAGTCATTGGTTTGTGGGTCATCGGGATCCCTTTTGGTTGTGGTAGTCAACTCACTACGATGCACCGCCAACTTAATACGCGCTGATGGTGTCACGCCCGTTGATGACGAGTCGTTTGCAGCCTAACTATCCAACTCACCTTAGCTAACAGACCAACGACCAGAATGCCTCTGACCGGTGTAATAATGAGATGGAAACGAAACTTCGGTATAATTCATGAAAAACTTCGTATCGCTCGAATCCATTTTTCGTCGAATAGAAAATAGCTTTGTGACTCCCTTTTCCGTTCTCCACCTAATACTTGCCACTACTCAATAAACTACTTATTTGCTCCCCTGTCGAACCTGTCCTTTGAAGAGGGTTCGGAGCATCACTAAACCCCGAATATCCGTTTCATCGATCTTTCCCCAGAATTTCGTACTTAAGATAATCTGGAAATAGCTGAGGATGTTTCCAACAGAAGCATAACTTCTTAATTTCGAAAATCAATACTAACTTATTCCTGTCACAACGACCATCACCTACTCAGGTTAAGACTGTGGATATGGCCTATTTTTCGGACATCTGCCGTGCCAGACAAATTGATGGATAGACTGATATTTACAAGATGAAGCTCGGCCTAGCAACCGAGGTGTCGCCTCCAGAACCAAAACGCCATTGACCTCGGTGTAGTTGCGTCAAATTCTCTACTGGAATTTTTTTCTGTAGTTGATTGGCGCTAGTTACAAGAAGAATGGCTATTGACAACCGGCTGTTTATTAGGTGCAAGCTTGTGCGCTCATGTCGGTGTTTGTGTGGTGAACATGGTTGGATTGTCCGAAACACTGGTTTTGTCAATCGATTGACCTGGACGTCCGTATGAACTGTTTTCATCTAACCATAGGCCGCCAGCTTAAGGTCACCCACGGGCAGCATCACGTGTTCATTGTGAACAGCTGGTTGTGTTGGCGGTAAAGAGCAATGAAAGCTTGGGATCACATCTCACAAAGGCTCGATTCACTTGTGTACTCTGTTTATATTTGCCAGCTTGTGAATGATCAGTCTTCTCTGAGGGCTGTAGTTGTCTACCGCAATCGTTCACCGTGCACAGTACCAGAACTTGCTGGTCAGACCAGACATTTAGTGAAATTAGTATTACACGTTTTGCAAAAGTGCTCGTGTCAAAATTCAAACTTTTTCACCTGCTGTCTTCAATTCGATGACTGACTTCGAAAGGAGATCACGAATCCAACTCACCGCCCAGCTACAACGCCTATTGTCGGATTCCGACAGCGAAAACCATTTTTTTCGGTTCACACTACCTAGTCCGATTATGTATCTCATCGAATGAATTTAGAGACTACGCCCACCAAGTTTCGAACCACAGTGCGACACGATTGTCTTTCAGTGAGAAATTCATGAGATCGGGTTTCAGTTCCCATACTGTTTTGGACCGACGCTTTGGATGGGAGTCGAACTCGCAATGTCGCCTCGGTGACTAGAGCCAATGCCTCTTGTTACATGAGCTGAGTCGGACTGAAAACAGTTTGTATCAGCTTCCGTGTTTGCAAGCCAGTGCGGATTCCGCATGTCAACTGATTCGCCTTTAGTTTATGATAACTTTTCAAAAGCATTTTTCCTGTTCAATTTACGACCAACGTCTTGGAAAGGATCACACAATCTTGATTAGTCGATCACAAACAGTGGCACAATGGTATCAAACGAAAAGTCCAGATTTAAGTGTTTTTTACCTATGGAGTTTGGTGTGTGTTCGTGTCTGGAAAGGCTCAGACCTTTCACTCATATTAAGTCCAGGCAATTGGACGAAAAGGGGGTCAGTCACGTGGCCCATGAGGCAAAATTGCTAGGTCAGATGAACTTTATATATATATATATATATATATATATATATATA